GCCTTCTGGTCTTTAAGCAGAAAGAAATGTTTCCCATTTTAAAATTGTGGTTATCTTTAGGCAGTTATTAACTGCTAGTGAGTGGTAAAAGTCTGGGGATAGGGGAGTTCGTGGACTCCCCTGTCTCTATTTGCACAGTTATTTTAATCTTACATTATGCAACACTTTTGGTGCAGATAGGCTGGTGTGTATTTAAAGCAATTATGGTTCAATCAAATGGCATTTACTCAATTTTTTAAGTTATAAGAGTAATATACGCTTACTGTAGAAAGCTTGAGAAATAAGAAAAGGTCAATAAAAATTTCCCATATTATCTCATAGAGAATAACATTGAATTTTTTTGTACATTTATTAATATTTCTAGCTTTTTCCTAGACATAGATTTTTTTACATGCTATGATAGTACTATATATAAAATGTTGTACTCTTTTTAATTTAATATTTTATTCTTGGCATTTCTCTGTGTCATTGAAAACTCTTCATAAACATACTTTTAAATGAGCATGAATAGCTTACCTAATAAGTGTGTGTGTGTGTGTGTGCGGATGGATGGAGAGAGTTTCATAATTCAACAAATGAGATTTACAAAGCACTAGGGAATCTTCCCTTTAGAAAGCACCCTGTGTGATTCCTCAATTTCTTCAGTCTGTATGGACTGCGCTTGCAGCAGAGCACAGCCGTACCTACGTGACAGAAGGAAGCACAAACGGGCTGCTAAATCAGACTTAAGTGATGTGGACAGTTCTTCCGAACCCTTCTCTCTTAATACCTTAAGCTTGCCTACCGGTATTTGCTGCTCTGCGTGTGTGTCAATTTAGCCATGCTTCTGTGAGACTACTGGTGAGTTTCCATCTGTCAGATCTCAAAAGGACAGAAGTGACTGAGATAGGAGACTAGAGTGGTTCTTCCGGAATTATTTTGCTTCCTGATGGCAGCTGAAGAATATGAGCAATAAAATCTTTACTTTCTCACCATCCCCCTAGGCTGAAGGACAGAAGCCCTGAGAGATGTAAGTGTCAGCCAGAATGGCTACAGTATTAGAAGTCTGTGTGTCTATACCGAACGTTCACTGAGTTTCACAGAACTCAAAAGACGCCTGCAGATAGGCTGATTGGCAGCAAGATCTAAAATACATTCAAGAGAAAACCCTTGGAGAAAGAACTGAATGACCTGAATAGGTCCTAAATTATATACGGAGTAATAATATTCCTTCCCCAGTGATACTCACATGGACAATATGACAAATGCTTAAAATTTTGGTCCAGTTCTGCTTCATATTTATTGAGCACTGAGCTGGCCACTGTGGGAAGTATATAAGATGTGACTGCAGTAACGTGACTGATTTTTTAGAAACATGAATTCCTAAGTCCACATATTCAAGTATGTGCTTTTCTTTGAGAGTTTAAATATTTTTCCAGGCTGGGTGCGGTGGCTCACACCTGTAACCCCAGCACTTTGGGAGGCTGAGGCGGGAGGATCACGTGAGGCCAGGAGTTTGAAACCAGCCTGAGCAACATAACAAGACCCTGTCTTTACAAAAAATAAGAAAAATCAGCCCGGTGTGGTGGTGCACTTCTGTAGTCCCAGCCACTCAGGAGGCTGAGGCTGGAGTGCAGTGGAACCATCACAGCTCGCCACAAAGCTCAAACTCCTGGGCTCGAGCGATCCTCCTGCCTCAGCCTCCTGAGTAGCTGGGACTACAGGTGGGTACCACCACATCCTGCTGATTTTTAAAATTTTTGTAGAGACAGGGTCTACTTATGTCACCCATTCTGGTCCTGAATTCCTACCCTCAAGCAATCCTCCTGCCTTAGCCTCCCAAAGTGCTGGGATTACAGGCATGAGCCACCACGCCTGGTCCAGGATGGTTTCTAGAAGTGGGTGGGTGGGACCGATTTGAGCAAAGTTCTGGAGAATAGAGATGACATGCATTGCTTCAGTGCACATAAACTTCAAATCTGTGTAATGGTGATGCATTTTCTGTCTGAAGCATGGCTGCATTGTCTTCTATGTTAGAATGCAAAACACTTAGGGCAGGGCATAGTGCTTTCAGCCTTTTGTACTCCTCATAGCATGTAGCAGAGCAAAGAATGTGCTCATTAAGACCCATCTCAAGTGTCACCTCTTCTCTGAGGCTTACCATGACCCTCTCCAGACAGAATTGTTACTCTTGATTTCCATATCATGTTCTTTTAAACAAACCCTGTGTCTTAGCCAACGTGGGCTGCTATAACAAAATAACATAGACTGGGGGGCTTAAACAACAGACATTTATTTCTCGCAGTTCAGGGATGTTTAAGAATAAGGTGCCAGTTGATTCTGTTCTTGGTGAGGGTTCTCTTCCTGGCTGGCAGATAGCTGTCTTCCTGCTGTGTTCTCGAATAAGAGAGAGAGAGAGAACAAGAGTGTGCACGAGCACACGAAAGCTCTCTTATGTCTCCTCTTGCAAGGACACTGATCCTGTTGAATCAGGGTTCTAACCTTATGACTTCATTTAACCTTAATTACTTTCTTTCTCCAAATACAGCCACATTGGGGGTTAGGGCTTCAACATATGAGTTTGGGGGAGGCACAATTCAGTCCATTGCACCCTGGAACATATTACTTATGTTGTAATAATTTGTTTATGTTTGTGGTGTCCTTAGATGCTATGCACTGTGCTAGGCATTGAGGATCACAACGATAGATCCCGCCTTCAGGGAGTTTGTTGTATTAGTTTTCTATTGCTGTTGCACACCACAAACTTACTGTTGAAAAACAACACAAACTTATTATCTTACAGTATCGTGGGTTAGAAGTCTGACACTGGTGTCACTGGGCTAAGTGTCAGCAAGGCTGGGTTTCTTTTGGAGGCTCTGAGGGAGAGCGTGTTTCCTGGCCTTTTCCGGGTTCTAGATAGTGCCTGCATTCCTGGGGGGAGGCTGGTGCATGGAACTCAGGACAGGATTGTAGCTGGGCATCAGAAATCAACTAGAATGAGGACACAAGTGCCACCTAGAACTTTGCTCTATTTTCCCTCTGCTCCTCTCTGTGTCTTTTCACTTTTCTCCTTTTCTGATGATCAGCATCTTTTGCATCTCCCTTCTATTAGTGAAAATGTTACTAACCATAGTTGCCAATTTTACTCATCTATAATTCAGTCACTCAGACAAAGGGCAAACTCTCTCTCAATTCCATATTCCCGGGAAAGGGCTTTGTTGGTGCAGCTCATGTCAGGTGCCCATTCTGGTGCACTGGCCGTGGCCAGGACTCAGTTAGTTTTCCTTCGTGCCTCTCTATCATCATGGCTGCTCTGGCCACATGCGGTGGATGGAGGACTGATTCTTAGAAAAGGCATCCTCGGTAGACATTCCAATAGGGATCCACTTTAGTGGAGAAGATGATGCATTCAGTTGTGTTTTTCTTTGTCTCCTGCTTTTTAAAAAAGGTGAAATATAATTTACAGTGAAATGCATAGCATTTTATGTTTAGTTTGATGAGTTATGACAAATGTATACCTACATCCCAATCAATATATAAAACATTTCCATCACACCAGAAAGATTTCTCATGCCTCCTACAGTCCATCTCCACCCCTCAGAGACAACCACAGTTCTGATTTCTATCACCATCGAATAGTTTTGTCTGTTGTAGAGCTTCATATAAATGGAATCAAACAATATGTTCTCTTTCGGCTTTTTCATTCTATGTAATTTATCTGAGATTCAGTCACGTTGTCGCTATATCAGAAGTCTACTCCTTTTTTGCTGCTGAGAATATTTAATTGCATGCACATATCACATTTGTTTATTCATTCACTTGTTGATGGACATTTTGGTTGTTTTCAGGTTTTTCGTTAAAATTGTGAACATTTTTGTACAAGTCTTTTTGGGGTTAAAAGGAAATTTACAATATTAAATGCTAGAATTAGAAAAGATGAGTTTTGTTTTGAACAAATTGAGTCTAAGGTACTTGCAGGACATTCAGGTAGTGAGGTCTGGGAGCCAGTTGGAGTACAGTATGGTAGGGGAGAGACATGGTCTAGCAATTTAGATTTCCGTAGTCTCTAGCCTTCAAGTGGAGTTAAAGCCCTGGGAAAGTTCTCAGGCAGAGCATGAGGCATGAGACAAGACAATGCCCATATATTAAATCCTGAGGAGTATCGATATTTGAGAAGCAGCTGAAAAAGGAACCCTCTGTGGAGGCTAAGAGAAGCATGGCCATTTATCTTTGTTTCTCTATCACCAGGCGCAGAAAGCCCACACAGTCACTTCTCAACGTGCTAAATTTAAAAGAACGGGTGCAGAGTGCATAGTTGTTGATAGACCCTATAAAAGGAGATGGATTGGGAGGGCGAATGGCATGAGGAGTCTCACAGGCCAGAATGAGCCTGGTATTATAGATTGAAGGGGTGGGGTGCAGGTAAACCCCACGCTCTTTCTACCTTTGCTTATGCGTGGCTGGGGAGGGCGAGTCAACAAAGATAAATAGTTAAGTAAGGGCACTTTACTCAGGGCCTTAGATGGGGATGTCAGATGGAAGAATTTGGACTCCAATAGGCCGGCCACCTGGAAAGGAGTCACTGAGGATTCTGGAGTAGGGCGTGACATGAGATTTCCTTCTGGGAGGTGTACCCTGGAGGCGCTGCTGCTGTCGCAGCTGGCGACAGTGTGGTGTGGTTAGCGGTGGTAGTGCTTTCCACCGGGCTTTGACTTGGTAGCTGCTGAAAGGGAACAGCGCCGCCGGCTGATGATGACGTGACGTTCCCTGACCTAGCGCTGTAACTTTGCCTCTGAGCCTCCGCCGCACCAGAGGCCATGGCATCTGGCCGCAGCTGGGCGGCAGTGCGAGCGCGCCGGGGCCAGACTGCCCTGCTGGGAAGCCCGGGGCGGAGCGGCAGCGGGGCGGGGTGCGGGCGGGGCCGTCGCGGGGCCTGGCCACGCCCCTGCCCGTCCGCGCAGGCGCGCTGCGGGCCGTTAGCTGTCAGGAGCCGAGCGGCGGGCTGGCGGCGGGATCCGACGTCTGCGCCAGGATCCGGCGAACTGAGCCCAGCGCAGCAGCAGCAGCAGCAGCGGCAGCAGCAGCCAGGGCAGCGCGGCCCCGACTCCGGCCAGGTGGTAGAGGCTAGCCCGGACCCGCCGGCAGCCGGCCGCTCGGGCGCGATGGGGAACCGGGAGATGGAGGAGCTGATCCCTCTGGTGAACCGTCTGCAGGACGCCTTTTCGGCGCTGGGACAGAGCTGCCTGCTGGAGCTGCCGCAGATCGCCGTGGTGGGCGGCCAGAGCGCCGGCAAGAGCTCGGTGCTCGAGAACTTCGTGGGCAGGTGAGCGCGCGGGGCGCGCGGTGGGGATGCGGCCGGGTGGGGGAGACCCCGTATGGGGGAGACCCCCTCCGGGCCGTTGGAACGTGGACAGGAGACGCGAGCCGGAGGGTGGACCAGGGACTGCGGCGCGATGGGGGGCAGAGCTGTGGTGTCCGTGGGGCGGGCGGGGTCCTCCCGGCTCCGGGCATCCTCCGTCCCCCCCGCCTGGTGGCCCTTCTGTCTGCCTTTCATCCTGCGATACAAAGCCATTTCCTCCGCGTCCTCCGGTCGGGGAGTCGGGGGAGGGGGCCGCCCCGGGATCGACTTCCCCCCCCCTCGGTGCGCGCCAGCCCCGGGCAGCCTCCTGCGTAGCGCGCCGGCCCCCCCCCGGCCCCCCCCCCCCCGGTTTCCCCGCCCCAAAACCCCCCCCCCCTCCCCGCAACCCCCCCCAACCCCCCCCACAAGCCGGGGGGGGGGGGTTGTCCTCCTGACGCCCCCTGCGGAGACGCTCTCGCTCTCGCCCTGGTCCCCCATCCTCTCAGCTGTCTACTGTTCGAGACAGTCGTCGCCTGCCCCTGGCTGGGGAGGCGGGGTGCGAGGAGAAAGAAATCGTTTGTTGTTATCCAGAGACGCTTCCCCACCATTCTCCTCCCGGGGAGTCGAAGAATAAAAGGTGGTGTGTTTGCGTGTGCACCTATTCGCAGCTCCAGGCATATGTCAGAGGACCCGAGACACAGCCTGTGCGGGGGGTGGACGTGGACTTGTGTTGTCCAGGTGCCATGTCATTCCTGCATCATCTCGGAATTGACCGGCGTCTTTCTCGCACTCTCTCTGCACCCCCTCCCCCAGCATCATCTTCGGTTCCCTAAGCTCCTGTTTGTCTTACGAGTCTTCAAGATAACGTTACGAATCTAAATTGTAGTTATGGTTTTCTTCCTGACTGTTAATGCAGAAAAAGCTAAAGAATTAATTTTTGAATTGGGAATCAGCGTTTCTTCCATTGGGCAATTCACGAGGGATTAAGTTACCTTAATGGCCTTGCCGGAGGAGTGCAGACATTCGCTAAGAAAAGCCCATTTGAAAGCATTATGAAAGCTGAAATCTGTTTCCTAGTAGTAAACCAGGTAGAAATATACAGTAGCCAAGAAAGAGGGCTGGAGAGATTGTACTTTATTCTTTTTATTTGGCTTGTTAGTGACTTGGGATGCAGAGGGTTCCTGTTCATATTCCTTTTTTCTTTTTTTGTTAGTGCTTGGTGATGTGTAAAATTTAGAGCTGGATATTCCCACATCTCCTTTGGGAATGTTCGTATTCATAAAGTGCATATTCTTCTCTCTCAGATGATGCTCCATCTCTCAGATGATACTCTGCATTTTTTTTTCCTGTATGAACCAGAAAGATAAGAAACCTAACAAAAAAGTAAAGTTGCTGACAATTAGCTGATATTTCTTCAGTAATTCACTTAATCACTTTGCCTCGGTTTTATAATTTATTTTGATTAATGAGGAAAGTGATGGTAAAGCATTTTGCTTACGTCATCTTAGACTTATGGTGAAGTGATGGATGAATTTACGTTTTCAAACATATACGTATAACAGTTACTTTCTTTGATTTATTCCTAATGGAATTCATTAGATTTAAAGTGGCATCCAAAGAGTGAGGTTTGATGACAATATATTTTTGTCTTTCCAAACACCAGGGCATTCTATCATGATGCCTTAAGTGTTATTTAAATATTTTTATTTTTTAAAGAAATATCTAAATATTAAAATTGTAAGTATTTCAGATGCAATTATTGTATTTTTATGCATCTTTCATATTTTTACTTGGATGAGCCTATATTATACATAAGTTCGTTTGTGGCCAGAGCTTTTGTACCTAATGACAATTTTATGCGTATATCTCAATTCTACTTTCTACGTTTTGAAATCCTAACACTCTTCTTAATGCTATAATAAAATTGTACACATTCCCCTCACTAGCTATATTCTTTTTAAATGACAATTTAAAAAAGAGACATAGAAGATTAAAGCTGGAACACTTTTCAAGATAGAATAAAAATAGGGACATTATAAATATTATAAAAATCAGAACACTTACCAGAATGCATTAGCAATTTGTTGTACTTTTAAAACTTTTACCAGTAATTAACTGTTAGAATGTCAATTCAAAGAAAATGATGAACATAGAGGAAAAAGCTCATTTAATAGCTATATAAAGTCTTTATTATCTGTAGAGATGATACCTGCCTAGCAGAGCTTATATATTAAGGAGGAAATTTAATTAGAAAGGTCATTTGACTTTAATAAAGATTTCGGTCATTGAATTATTGAGGAATCTAATTTCTAATTATAAACCAACCTTAGGGAAAATGGAGTTTTCTATTTTGATAAGATATTCAGCCTAGGTGGAAAAAATTGTATTCATATTCCGCTATAACATTTTAGCTTTTTCTTTTTATTATCCAGGAATTTTGCAATAAAGGTCCTTTCCATTAAAGACGCAACTTTCCTCTTTTACATGTAGTTGTTTTCATTTTAAGACTCTGATCTAACATGCAGTTAATGAATGCAATCATAAAACAAGGGTTCATCACTTGCGTAAATTAATAGCGTTTGCTCATGATTTAAGCTTGTTCTCCTCAAAATAATGATGCGTTTTCTTAACAATCCACATTTAGTGGACTAGCCATATCTTCTCCTCTCAAATAGTTTGTTTATATTGATTTTTTGACACCACTGAATGAATTTAGATGTGAATATGTTTACTTCATTTAACTGTGGCTGTAAAAACCGATTTTTGGGTGACAAGTTTGAGATTGTTATGAATAAAATGAGTCATGAATGAACTACTTGTTTGTGGTTTTCTTGGTGAAGTGATGAATTTACATATTAATGTGATATAGCGTGAGTAACCAGATTGTTCTTTTGATTGTTCAGGATGAGATATATGCTGGCAGTGAGGAGAAGCTTAAGGTCTAATGAATAGAAGCTAAGACCCATGGTCTGAATATAGGGGATACTAGTTGGCTTGGATCCGCCTATTTATTGGTCTGGTTTGTGTACTGAAGAATTGAATTCATTCAACTGTTTTCATTACGTTACATATACATACTCATATATATGTATATTTACAGTGTAGTAATGATAATAATGGCTAACATTTATTGAGTGCTTGCTATATATTAGATACTATTCTGGATGCTTTTACATGGGTAATCTCATTTTATCCTTGTAAAACCCCAGAGAGGTGGGTACTCTTATGAGTTCTGTTTTACAGAAGAGGAAATTAAGATTTAGAGAGTTTGAGTAACTCACTTAAGGATCCTTTAATTTAACATAAAAACAGTAGAGCTAAGATTCAGCCAGAGGTGTTTGACCTCCATAACCTGTGCTCTAAAACCTGTGTACCATATCGTTCCTTTTATATTGAGCTTTACCATTTCCTCTGATAAATACTTTTAACTTCTTCTTTCTTACTGCCTATATAAATGCTGCCTATAAATAAGAAACTGCTATATTAATAAACTTATTCATATTTATTTCTGTGTGTCTACCTTGCCTCATTTCACAGAGAATTTAGGTGACCTTTTAGGCAGAAGCAACATTAGTTAAAAGAGAAGTATTTTTCTTTACTATATTAGACATTCTTGAAGAGAGGTCTAAAACGTAATTGAATTGTTTACTTAAGTATGTGTTTAGGGTGCATATAGCTTATTTATAGAGGTGTTAAGTGAAAACTGTACTAGTTGCTAATATGCAAATGTTTTTTAATGATATACTTGTTAGAAACATTAGTTCTTCAATGCTAATTATATAGGCAGAAGATTCCACATTATTTTATTTTAGCCTGAGTGGTATATAGCCTTTCAATTCTGTACACAAATAGAAAAGGTTTTGTGGTTAATGGGGACCAAATAAAAGATTTTTAAAAAGTGACTATGATGATGAGAGTTCATTTCAATATGGAAATGTTCAAATAATGTATATTTATTTAGTTGTGAGGTTTCTAATGATAGATATGTTGGTAATTAAAGTTGTTTTGAGGGAGAACCTTACAAGTGAGCTATTTGGTTGCTGTTGCTGAATGGACATAATCAGATAATTAGAAAAAATCTAAAAGTCATTAATATGGCTTAGACAATAATCTATTCTTAAGTCCTTTGACTGATTTCAAGAGAGCATTTAAAAATTGAGTAGGTAAGAGTCTTCTAGTTACAAATGAGATTAGGTACAGTATTAGTAAAATTTCTTAATTCAGAAATAGGTTTTGTATTGAGAGGTAGGATTTATTAAAATACCAAGGCATCTAAATTAGTAAATATTTTTCAAGAAATGGATTATAAGTATTATAATTATTACATAAATGAGTGCTAATAGTTAAAATGTGATAATTATTGAGAATCATGCTTCAGGGTTCCCAAGGGTCTATAAATAAAGTATCAAAAACATGAACTTGTTTTCATCCAGTAATAAATTGGTAGAATTTGAAACCATGGAGATATTTTTGCAGAATTAACATCATTTAATGTAACTTTTAGGTTGTTACAAATTCACAGTTGGTGGGAATTAATTACCACAATCAAATTAATTCTTTATTATTTATTTTTAATTTAATTTATTTTATTTCAGAATTTTACAGGGGTACAAATATTTTGATTACATGAATAACTTTTGTACAGTTTGAGTCAAAGTTATAAGTGTGTCCATCACCCAGATAGTGTGCATTGTACCCATTAGGTGTGAATTTACCCATCCCCTCCTCCCCCCCCCCACCAAATTCTTTTTTTATTAATGATATCTAAGAAGCAATACTGCTAGGTGAACTGGACTGGATAGGATATCTCTGTTTTGGAATTTACTTATGATTAACAGATACCAAAAAATACACTTGACTTAACTTCTTTAAGAATGAAGTTTGGGCAGGCAGTCATCCAAAACCTTGGAGGAATAGAAACTTAATATTTAGCTGTGTTAGATAGAGGTAGGCTATTGTGTTCTCTATCTATGGAACATACACTT